CAACTGCTTAAATTGGAAAATTAACTGCGATGATCATTCTTCACTGTCATCTACAACCGCAGTTCATATATGAATTATTTCAAATAAACTTCACATCATACTCATTAGAAATTGTTGCAGAAATTATTATTATGAAGTTCGATCAGTTTTTTCAGACTTTATCTCCTCAAAAAGCCCTTGAAGTTAAGTAAATTGCATTAATTGGAGTTTGATTTATGTAATTTGGCTGAAAACAAAACTAGCATGGGCAATCTTGATGAGTAATCTCATGTAGGACACAGAAATGCCGCCATAAAATAAGGCCCTAAAATCTCTTGAAATGTACTAGTGAAATAGCAGCTATGGTGTTTGTTGTCTATAGAAATATCATAACATGTTTGAAACTTAAGTGGATTCGAGTGGTTTTCACTCAAGTGCTTTCACTGCAAAGTTTTGGACATTTTCGGCGTTATTTCTATGGTGCATAGTATCATGATTCATGCCCAGCCGGTACGAGCGAAACGGGTTACAAGAAACTGACCATGGCCATAAAAACACGAGTTACCATGAGCTAACTACGACTGATCACCTGAGATGAGAGAGAAAAACACAGGACGAAAAGAAGTCATTTAAAATAGGAATTATAAAAGAAATCGATGTGAAATTGAAATTGAAAAAGAATGTATGTCATAGAAAACTGTCATCCAAATCCTACATGTTACTGATGATTATGAACTGAGGACTATGGGTATTTTCCAAAGCTCATCCCATGAGTAATGTTAAAACTGCTCTCGCTAAATTTCTTTTTCTATTGACTCACATGGTCTAATTCATTTTGGTAAACGACTGGTCATATTCAGATGTTTTTCTTTTCAGTAAAAGAAGTTTTTAATATTCTTTGAAAGGCGTTGGTGATAAGTGCATGAGATTTTTCTTCTTTCACTTTATAAATGCAGTCACTACTAGTCCTTAAGATTCCTTCTCTTAAACTCTTTTTGTTATTTTTGACTTTCAGTCACTTGTATCTACAGAAATTGCACTAAAGTAGATAATAGCAATTTTGATTTAACAATTTTGATTTTGTCTAAGGTTCGTATAGTCATGAATGGAATCCTCCCACAGACCAGTGACCCGTTGCTGACCCGTGACAGCATAGTATAGGAGTTTAAGTGTGGATTTACTTGGTATCCTGTTCTGTCGTTCTAACGCTTGTGTATTCCGTTCAAGCTGGATTCCGACGCTTTAGCACGCACCAGGCTGTTAAAACCAAGTCAATTAAATAGAGAGGGCACTCATTGGAGCTTAATGGTTTTTATTTTCTTTAATTTGTACCTGAACATCTCCAAGGGACTAACCTACTTTGCTGTAAGATGACTCGATAAAAAATGAAAATGTCCTCATTTCAAACTTAAACCAACTCAGACCAACTTGATACACTTCAGCACCACAACTGAAAGATGGGTGCATATTGTAAAGTGCATTGATTGCAGCAGATGATGTTTGTTAGAGCTAGGGTGCTAATTGGAATAAGGGCACTTACCCATTCACCTGGTTGAAACAAAGGCCCTTTTTGAGCAGCTTTTAATGAAAGGAGGGTCCTAATATTGAACAATCATAGAAAGGCTGTGCTCCCAACACTATGTCTCGTTCCGAAAACAACAAAAATAAGAAATTACCTTGAAAGCATTCTTAAGTTCTGTACAATATGGAAATCTTTTTTTTTTTACATTGCCAGTAGTATTTTTTTCCTTAAGCACAGAGGCTTCAGGTTTTGGTTGAGCTAAAAATATCATAAAAAAATCAGCTATGAAAGGTCATGACATGATTAACTGTCCCAGGACATCTGAACCTGATGTACCTGTTTAACTAAATTAATTTTCATGTGCCGCAAGCTCAACAGTTAACAAAGAAGGCATGGATTCATTTCTGCCAGTGCCCCCAGAAATTTTACAGTTTTTGAAGGTCCATTTCTCCTTCACTATTACACTCAAAGATTTAAGTGTTTAGCCAGTTACTAAGTTTCACAGCTCTTTAAATGTTTCAACTCAATTTTGTCTAGCCTGATGCCTTCTCCACACAATGTGGTATGTGCAAAAGCAGCAAAATGAGAACAATGATGCCAGCAAAGATTCCTGTATACTCACTTGAAAAAAAGAGATGAATAACAGAAATATTATTACTAACAGCACTTATCAAAACTCATACTTATCAATGTCACAGTTATGTTTACCATATAATTACAGTGTCAGTCAGGCAAACGATTCAGAGTAATTTTGTGCCACATGGCACTCTTGGGGTAATGTGTTCTGCCTTATAGTTTTCCAGTTAAGAAATTATTTAAAGACACTGATTCAGAGAGTTGTCTGCTTTAGAAAAGTGACCATGAAAAATGACTTAACTGTACAATCATTCCCTGAAAGGATATAATAAAGGATCTTGTCTTTATCTTATCTTACTCCCAGTTGTAGTTGTACTCACAAAATTGTGTGCCATGTGTTTTTCAGATAGGAAGGTTTGATCCTGTAGACTTGACAATGTGCCGATCAATTCAAAGCTTCAACATCCCCCACCCCCTAGGCAACCCACAGACATTTGACTGTCCTAGTAGGAATTTGACAAAGACTTCCCAGGGGTGGGTGATTTCAACCTTGCCTGGGTGGGGTGGGGAATTTCAACTGGAAGTGTCAAGTCTTTCCAGCAGAATACACATGGTTGTTCCAGGTATGGAGAAGTTTAAAGGAAAAGAAGTCACTTTTGTTAGCGGATGGGTGACAAGCCAAGGGCTGCTAAAGCTTTGCAGCATTTTTGAAGGTATGTTTAAAAACTAAAGCGTATTTGTGTTGTGTGATTTTTAGGTTCTAAAGCTTGAATAGTCAAATCATTTGCTAGTCAATGTGTAGAAAGTTACAGTCGCTGATCTTGCCTTTTTCATAAAATAGTTGTTGTCCTCAGAGCATGAACTGCTATTGAATAGTGAATAAACAAATGCTGTAAAATGTACAACCACTCTCAAACAATATTAAATGTAATTCATCGAAGGTATTGCTTTCAGTTGCTAAACGTGCCTAGTATCACAAATTTTTCACACCGTGGAATAAAATCTCCAAAAGTTCAAATGCCCGAGGGGGTGGGAATAGGGGGGGAGGAGGGAGAGGGATGTTGAAGCTTAGAATTGATCTGTGCATAATATACATGTAACTGAAGAAGGGATATCTTAAAATATATACATTCTGGCAGTTTTTATAAAAATTCAATTCCTTCAAACTTATTATCACCAATATGGGTCTCTTGCATGATCATCCTTCCATTAATGTCATAAGCAACAATGTATGAGCGAATGGTACCCCTGTCTTCTTCTGTCTTCAGAGCAACAAATAACTTATCATCTGTACCAGGGATAAACTTGAAAGAAGAAAAACCGTGAGTCAAGTTGAGTTCTCCTATGGTGCGCACATGGAAGTTTGTGAAGTCTTCATCACAGGTTATCATGACATTTGTTGCCCGATGTTCATCATCTTTTTCATTGTACGAATCATGACTAGCTCTTCTTGGTAAGAAAAACCACTTCTTGTGTTTGTCACTCCAGTTTGCTGCCTCATGAATTACATACCCAGGGTACTGAATCCCCAAGGCCCCCCGCAAGGCCTCATATCTGGACACCCAGTTATGATGGACCACATCTCCATTGGGGCCAATGCTCTTAACCCACTGTGGGTTGTGATTTTGGAACACTCCTTCTGTTGTTGTCCACTCCTTTCCAAGGCCACCGACGTAAAGAGTTTTGCCTTTGACAGCCATCCACTCTGCCTTAAAACCCTTCGCTTCTGTGCCATCTCCATCGGGTAAAATCACCCACGCAGTAGTGTGCTTGTCCTGAATTTGAAAAACTACTCCGGTTCGATCATCAACAACGTACAGTTTCCCGTTAAAAACTATCAACTCCGATAGTTCCATGCCCCGTCCTTTTTGGGACAAAGTAGAAGATAGCACAGCTAGATCTTTATCCCATTCCACAGACACCTGGCCATTGCGATGAAGTGTTAAATACCCTCGCTTGAAGTGACTTGTCCATGTGTTCGCCTTTGAAGATGATTTCGAGTTTTCATCAAGATCTGCAATCACCCCGATTCTAAACCTCTTTCCCTCTGCTGTGATCTCTGGACGAGTCAAAGGATATGTTTTGTTGTACTCCTTAACGAATGCAGCCCTGTGATAAAAGTCGATGCTTTGATTGTTGCCGAGGGAATCCACTTCGCCCTCGCCTGACATCCACCAGTATATTAATCCAATAACGAAGCTAATAACGATACCTATCAAAGCGCATTTACGAACCACGGTCTGCATATCGCTTTGAGTAGCGGTTCTGCGGTACGAAGGCATACTAGGCTTACAGATCTAACCCGAAAATCGCAATCAATCCATAAGAACAGAACGAGCCAACACTCCGGCTCAGTAACTTACACGAATTTCTTTGCACTTGAGTTTATGCTATGCTACCAGGCCTCACACAACTGAGAGAGACAGAGACAAAAAACAGGCCTGGCACTAGTTTTTGCGTTCGACGAAGTGGAACGCAATCCTAATTTTGACCTATGGCTTTCCAGAGTTGGTTGCCCTGTGCAATGTTATGGGCCGAAAAAGCCACATTCCTGTAAGGACACCAAAATGGCCACCCTGCTTGATTTTTGCAGGGGGCATGTCACGGCCAGTAAACTGGTACCGTTTAATGCTAAGACATGTGATAAGACATGTCGCGAACATGTGAGTATGTGAACTATGGTTGGCGAAATGGTGCAAAATTCACAAAGTTTATATTCATTCACAGTTAATGTTGTTATTATTATTCACGAATATATTTATTCACATTCA